CTCACCTCAGCCTTCCAAAGGCGCGGGATTACAGGCTGAGCCACCGAGCCCGGCTAAAAAGTGTACATTCTTATCAGCATAGATAGCAAGGATAACTCAACATTCAAATTGTTATACTCTTTTTAAAAAATGGTTACAATTAAAAATCTAACAGATAATGCTAAATTAATCTCTTAAAGCACTGCAATTTTAACTCCCATTCTATCTCCCCACATCTATATCAACATTGAATACTACAAGCTTTTTTGAGTAAAATTGGCATAAAATGGTATGCCAACAATTTGCATTGTTATTTTAATTTGTAGTTAAATGTGCATTTCCTTGGTTGGTAGTGAGGTTAAGCACTGCAATATATTTTTTAGCTATATTTTTCTCTGTGCTGCTTGTTTATATCTTTTGCCTTGTTTTAAAAAATAAAACTGCTTATCTTTCTTTTACATTTAGCTTTTCATCTATCTGAAGTTTGGTTTTCAGTAAGGGAATTTATGTTTTTCCAATGGCTGGCCATTTATTATAGCTCATTAAATAGTCCTTCCTTTCCCTGATTTGTAATGCCTTCATCACATGCTAAATTTACATGTCTATGTCTCTGAATACCATTATGTTCTATTAATCAACTGATACCAGGCATTTTTTTGTGCTTATTCTTTAATTCTTTTAATTATCCTTAAACATTCGCACTTCCACATGGATTTTAGAATCAGCTTAGAAACTCTGGTTTGTTTCTTTTCTACTTAATTGGAATCATTCTGCACATATAATTTCATATAATGCTCTTTTCAGCTAACATTGAGTATTCCTCATGTCAGTAAATATTTTTCAAGCAACACCATGTTTAATGACTGTAAAATAACTAATTGTATGGATGATGCTTCTATTTAAATACTCGATTGTTCATAATAGTGATACTGTCTTGACTAGGCAATGTATTATATGGGTGCTATTAATTTCCTTCTTTTAAGAGGTAATATGTTTCTCACCATGAGTTTCCAAGTCCTGAACCAATGCATGGGTATCAAAAGTTAATTTCCTTTGTTCTAAAGGAGTTATGTCCACTGGCCTCCTATCATATCCCTTCTTGGCAGTGGTGGTGAAGAAGTCTGAAAAGAGAAGATAATGTCTTTTTTTTTTTTTCTCTTATAGTAACTGATTGAAGTATCACATTAGCTTACAAAGCATTTTCCCCATCCATTTATAATATCGTTCCAACTCTTCTGGATTAGTTTTGTAATCTTACACAAGTCAACTGGCTCCTCTGAGACTCTGTCTTATCTAAACAGTCTCTGATATTATTCTGTACATAGCAAACATTCAGTAAATGTTTCTGTACTTTCTTTTACTATTCAGAAATGTTTTGCTAAATGCTGGTCTAAAATAGTTAATGTAACATACATCAAATGCTTTGGCTATCAATGCCTCAATTCTAATCACTGAAGAACAGAAACAGCTCAACTCTTCTTAGTAGTAAAGTAGATTTCCATACTCCCACTCACTAATATATCTGCAGTTTATTACCTGCTTAGTTCTTGGCTCTAATCTGATCTGAAATTATCTTGTTTGCTGCTTGTGTCTCTGAACAAGAATAAGCTCCATGATGTCTTGACTGTGTTTTTCATTCCTTTAGCACCTAGAATAGTGCTTCGGCACGTAGTTGGGTCACACTGCTTTAAGGTTGGATCAATCAGTGAATTTGATTTTAAATTCTTGCGTATTTACTAGTATCAACATAAAAGCCCTAGGAAAAATTTCTTTTTGTAATAACTCTTTTGTCCTGTTTCAATAAATTTCCAAGTTTTAAACTAGACACAGTACACTCCTTTTCTATATTGCTGATGAATTTTATATTTGCTGTGAAGAACTCTGTCACATACAACTTCTTTATTAGTATTTATTAAGTAAAATAACTGCTAATTAGTATAACTACTAATTAAACACAAGGTACTCTACCAGATATTTTATGTACTACAAAGGCAAAATGACATTAATCACATTTTTATATTTAAAAAAAAAAGCCCAAGCCTAGGAACAGTAAAGGGATTTTGCCTAAAGTCACAGAGCCAATGACAGAATCAGGATTCACACTTAGGATCTTCTGACTCCAAATCTCATGTTCTTTCCATCATCCCATGCTCTCTCTTATTTACCCTAAGCCACTTAAAATATCTCGTTATGTAAAATGCATAGCTGTAACTTTAGGCATTACTTTCCTGCTAGTATTGCATGTGACAAATGGGATTCCCTCCTATATATCTTTCTAGCCAACAACGACTTATTGAGTGGCAGAACCTGTGCCAGGCACAGGGGATAAATGCAAAACCAAACATGTTCTCAACTTTATAGACTAGCCGGCAGGAAACAGATGCTATTAAAAAAAATAATAATCCAGGCATCAACTCTAAATTCAAATGATAAAAGAGATAAAGTACTCCAAATAATTCTGTTTAACCAAAGACACAAGAGGTAGCTGCTGTAAAGGTGGAACAATTTTTTAAAAATACATATATATTAGCAGTGGTCAGCAATCCTTCTGACTTGAATGCCATCTAGAAGGGTTAAGAAATACGCCTTTGTATGTCAATGTCAGAGGTAAGGTAGGAGAGAAAAAGGAAAAAGATTTCAATAGTAGTTTCAGAACAATTGTATTAGGAGTAATGATTTGGCACTCTTAGTTACCTCTCTGATTAGAAGTTATAGAAAAAGAAATAAGGTTTATGTAAGGTTTTACTGTTTACCCACCTATTCCTCAGTTGTTAAAATTCTCATTTTATAGATGAGGAAAATGGAGGCTTAGAGTTAAGTTCAAATACTCCTCAACTTATGAGAGGGTTATGTCCTGATAAGCCCATTGGAAATTGAAAATATTGTTAAGTGAAAAATGCATTTAAATGGCTACGCACAGTGGCTCATGCTAGTAATCCCAGCACTTGGGAGGCCAAAGTGAGAGGTTCACTTGAGCCCAGGAGTTCGAGACTAGCCTGGGCAACATAGCAAAACCTCTTCTCTACAGAAAATCACAAAAAGTAGCTAGGCATGGTGGTGCGTGCCTATAGTCCTAGCTACTTCAGAGGCTGAAGCGGGAGGACTGTCTGAGCCCAGGAGATGGAGGCTATGGTGAGCCATGATTGTGCCTTTGCACTCTAGCCTGGCTGACAATAGATGACTCAAAAAAAGCAAATGCATTTAATACATCTAACTTACTGAACTTCAGTTTAACCTATGCTATCTTTAGTCCTCAGAACACAGTCTACAGTTGGGCAAAATCACCTAACAAAGCCTGTTTTATAATAAAGCGTTGAATATCTCATGCACACACCAGATAGGCATTTTAGATAGGCCAGATAGGCACACACCAGATGCAAAGACCCAAAACCCAATATCCCCAAAATGCTGGAAACCTGTAGAGCAGTGGTCCCTGACCACTTTTTGGCATCAGGGACTAGTTTCGTGGAAGACAGTTTTTCCACAGAATGTGGAGGAGGGGGCATCCTCAGGCTCCTATGAGAAGCTAATGCTACCACTGATCTGACTGAAGGTGGAGCTTCACTTACATGCCACTCACCTCCTGCTGGCATGGTTCCTAAAGGCCACGGACCAGTACTGGTTCGCTGCCCAGGGGTTGGCGACCCCTTCTGTAGAGTATTGGTTGTTTGTGACCCGGGACTGGAAGCTGTGGTTTGCTGCTGCTGCCCAGCATTACAAGAGTATTATACTGCCTATCACTAGCCTGGGAAAGATCAAAATTCAAAATCTCAAGCACAGTGTCTACCGAATACATAACTGTTTTTGTACCATCAAAAAGTTTTAAGTCAAACCAACCTAAGTTGGGAACTGTCTGTACTTTGAGATCTTATGGTCTTACAGCTAGGCAGATTAGTACAGTTCCTCTGACTTCAGTCAACAAACATTTTGAACACAAAGAGCAGCTTCCTACTAAATCTGGGACAGAGACCAAATACCCTAACCTTGTCAACAAATCTTTATAGTGTGCAGCTCTAGTCTCATGTCCTACTATGCTCTCTGGCCCTCTGCTTTCAAGGCTCCTTGATTTTAATTCTACAAACATGCCATTTGCCTTTGCCCAGCCCCAGTTAAGAAAGCTCTCCTTTTCTCTGTCTGCTCATATTGATCCTTCAGAGTTCTATCTGAATGTTTCTTCTGGAATGCCTGTTCAAATTCCTTTACCAAATTTCTTTAGGTTATGTCTCTCTTGTTAAATAGTCTTTCAGAGTACTATATAGCATTCTTTTGCAAAGAAAGAAAGCACAATTAACACATTTTGTGACTGTTAACCATTTAACTTCCCCAAAAGACCAGAGCTCAGCCAACAATAGTACACAGACTACCACCGCTTTTTTTTCTAAATTGTTTTATTAAAATAAAACTAAACAGCTTTAGTGGAACACAGCTCATTCATTTATGGATTAATCAATAGCTACTTTCCTACCACAGTGGCAAAATGAATAATTTTGATTGACCATCTGGCCCATGAAGCCTAAAATATTTACTATCAGGTTCTTCACAGAAAGTTTGTTAACCCCTACACTAGACTATAAAGTCCTTAAGAGCAGAACCACATCTGTTTTTTGTTTTTTTAGTTGGAGTCTCAATCTGTCACCCAAGCTGGAGTGCAGTAGCACACTCACGGCCAACCCAGCGTCGACCTGCTGGGTGCCAGCGATCCTTCCACCTCAGCCTTCCAAGTTGCAAGAACTACAGGTGCACGCTACCATGCCCAGCTAATTTTTTATTTATTATAGAGACGAGGTCTCACCAAATTGCCTGGGCTGGTCTCGAACCTGCAGACTCAGGCAATCCACTCGCCTCCCAAAGTGCTGGGATTACAGGCTGAGCCACCGAGCCCGGCCCACATCTGTTCTTGCTCACCACTTGGTCCTCATAGCCTAACATTTCCCAATGCTTCATAGAAATCTGTTGAATGAAAGGCACTGTGCTCAGCATTATGTGTACAATGAAAATACATTGTTTGGTGTCAAGATATATCCATAAGGGAATAGAGGAGACAGCTGGCACTCCTTGAGAATAAATGATCAAGAACGATTATTTGGATGATGATAGACCGACAGTCAACTTTAAAGAGGTTATTGAGACAAGATGAACGAAATGAGCCAAATTCACCAAGGCACAGGCTGCCTTTATTACTCTATTTACTATAAGGCTGATGAGAGCTAGGAATACAGAAGTATATATACAACATTTATTCCTTGTATGTGCTCAAATATTCATGCAATATTTTGCTTAGTCTTCCCAGCCCTGTGAGGTAGCTGCTGACGCCCTCCCTAGCAGGACTTTGGATTTCACTCCTCTTTGGAGGCAATAAGTAACTGGAAAATGCACCAGACACAGTGAGGTGTCATGATCCCTGTTCTGACCATGTAATGGGCAGTTTGACACATGAGCACTCCTTATTAATAAGTCTTTGAAGGCATATTAATAGGTAGAGGAAACAAAGTGCCCAGAATCAGTGTTTTCTAGCTCAAGGTGGAATAATGGGTTGTTCCTAACTTGTAAGTTCCCATAACATAAAATCTGTACAAAATCTCAAACCTTCCCTTTCATTGTTACTTCTTTTGATTCTTTCATACCAATCTTGTTATTTTTTTCTTTCTTAAAAGTAAGTTTAAAGGCTCAACCAGCTTAATAAAGCTATTAAGTCACACGTTGTGGACTGGAATTCTGGCCCATCTTACACCAAGCTCCTCTTAGCTGGCAGATTTTACTTTTGAAAAAACATGTAAAATGGTGTCCCATTACATCTAAGCTGCAAGTTTTACAATAATTTACTGCTAACTTACATGATGGTCTATTAACATTGCATCAGAGTTACCAGGAATAATACATTACATAATGATCTAACACAGAGATCCCTGGCCTCTACCGGTGGAAACAGATTCAGTAATAGTTCTGGGATATGGCCTGAGAATCTCTATTTTAAAAAGCAACTCCAGTGTTTCTGATGTCCTGCTAAGTTGGAAAGTGGTAATGAACTAGGAATCCAGCACCACTGGGCATAAAAAAAATGTAGATAATTACACCACCTTCCTATGCCTCTGCTTATTTACTTCTAAAAAGGGTATTCGACTAGATAACTAAGGTCCTTCCATCAGTCCGAGGTCAAAGTTTCCAAATTCCTTGACTAGTCACATAATTAGGCAAGTTTAAACTAATTATACACAGTAAACATTCAATATCCATTTAGTGAGGAGGGACAATCATATTAGCTGTAAAAGGAGACTTAAAGTTTCTCCAAGACACTTAGAATTAAGTGGGATAACTCAATTATGTTAGGATATTAACCTTTACTTATGGTGATGTGTTTTCAAAGTTCATTCTGTAAAAATGTTTAATTTTGTTTTCATTTGAATATGTAAACAAAGCATATCTGTAAAAGACAACAAAGATGAGAATTGGATGATTTCCTAGAATTAACAAATACTGCCTCCTTTTTGTAAAGCCCATCATAATGTATATGTATGCTAAACACCCAAATATATAACCACAGACCTTGTGAACAACGCTGGCAGTTAAACAGCAATCTTACAGATGGAGGACCAACAGCTGCAGTCAAAACTGGTGTAAATACAATGAAACAATGAGCAAAATAGCACAATACAGTGTGTAGGTGGAAGATGTATTTGGGTACTAAACTCAGTTTACCTGATACTGAAGACTCAAGAAGGTGAAGAGAGAATGCTACAGTTGATATAAGGTGTCACTTGCCGTAAAGAATTTAATAGTTGGGAAAAAGACCCCCCAAAAAACCTAACCCTGGAAACGTTTCCCAGAATAAGCTCAGATGTTCTTCGGGACACACAGAGGTGCCAACTGGCTCAAAACTTGTAGGTTTCAGCATTAAATTTTTTTTTCAGTGGCTACTATATGATTGCAAAATACTGAGAATTACGGCGAGAATAAAGCAGACCTGAAATGTATGACCCTGTCTACCAAAAACGCGGGCTCGAGGTCAGCACCAGCATAACACGGCCTAAATCTGAACGGGACACAAAGAAATCAGGACACCCCCGATCACAGATTGTTTGCTCCTGACAAGTCCAAGAGATTACTGCACTTATGTCATAGGAAAAAGGAAAATAAAGATTCAAAAAAGCCAGGCGAGAAGCCTAGGCATTCGAGGTTCGCTCTCATCAGAGAAAGGCGGACCTTTCCCCAATCCCCGACCCTTGGGTGAGCTGGGCAAGTCACGGCAGCCGGCAGCGGTGTCGCCGTGACAGACGTGGGCCGGGATGGAGGGCGTGGCACACTCGTCTCGCGTTCGCCCGAGCACACACGACCCACGGGAGTCGTCTCCCTAGAGCACTCGGGCATCAGTAACACGATGCCTTCCTTGCCTCACCTCTGCGCAGGGCCGGCGAGAAATGCCCGCGGGGGCTTGAAACCCAGGAGTTCCCACTGCCTCGGAAGCCAAACAGCCGCCATACCCAGCGGCGACTCATGTCCTGTTTTCCGGTAGGCGGGACGAAGCGGACGACGGGCTAACTCTCGCTCAGGCTTTCGGGCAAGGTAGTTCTGGTGCCTCAAGAATGCTGGGAAATGTAGTTTCCGGTCTGTTACACGACGACCTCCACGGCGCAGGCTCCACCCGCGGTCCCGCGAGGCTGGGCCTCTTCGCAGATGGACCCACGGTTCACTAGCATAGTTCAGAGCTGCGCCACTTCTCCCACCGCCCCTTCCCGACCTGGGAATGCCTCTACCGCCCTAAGAAAGCGGGATCTTGTCGGAAAACCTTCCGGTGCCTGTTTTCTGGCAGTGAGGTGCAGTCCGACGGCACGCTCCGCTCCAATATCCAGTGACCATTATGCGCTTCGGTCCTTGGGAGACAGGGTCCTATTCTGCCGCACAGCAATCTGGGACTTGAAGTTCTTGGCCGCTGAGCATTCTGGTCGAGTGCCGAGGCCGACGAAACCTTCTGGGAAATGTAGTCCAGCGAGCAGCTCATTCACGCTGCTTCGTGTCCTGATGTTTTACCCTCTGGTGCACGGGAGAACCAACTATTTTAGTAGGTTTATTCCCTCTTCAGGGAAGCTGAATTCCTCAGTTTCTGGGGTGGGTCTAATTTTCATTATTAATCCCTTTCAGGTCTCAGTTACTCCAGACTTTGCTCCACATGGTAAAATGCTGAAAGTAATAGTGCACGTGATTGTGGTCTTCAAATGAGAATCCTAAAATTGTGCACAGTTGTTAGGTTTTAGTGGCAATTATTCACATAGGGATTTAAACAGCTACTGCTAGGTTTCCTATCTATATGTATTCAAAGCTTTGTAAGAGTCAACTACATAACAAACACAATTCTAAGCACTGAAGCACATTTAAAGGACAAAACTTGATCCCTGCCAGCAAGGGCTTTAACTGACTGCTTATGGTCAGGAAATATAAATTTGCTGTTAAAAAAAAAAAATTAAAGTTTACTCTTGGCAGTTAAAAAAAACAAAGCATGAGGATATACCATTTTTACCTATCAAAGATTTTTTTTAAATGATAATTCTCGATGCTAACGAATATGCAATTAGGAAGGTATGTCACACTCCTGGCAGAAGTGTAATTAGTACAACATATTTGGAAAGCAAATAATATATATGAAACCCTAAACAGTGAATAGCCAGAATTTCAATTTTAAGAAGCCATAATAAGAAAATAATCACATCTATAGTTAAGATTTTTTTTAAAGATGACTATTGCAATGTTATTTACAGTAGTGAAAAACTGGAAATAATCTATATAAAAGTGACTCTGTAATTTTCAGAAATGGCTCAGCTGGAATATTGTGCAAGCATTTAGTACTTTTAAAAAATCTTAGAGACAGGAAAATTCATATATATATATATATATTCATGCCACTTAACAGAATTATAATAATATATATATGATTTTATATATATATGATATTATTATATATATGATATATATATATATATGGTTATAATTCTGTTAAGTGGCATGAACCATTTTCTGGAGGAACACAAGCTAGTGGAAGATACAGACCAGTAAGTGGTACCACAATATTTTACATAGCGTAAATTAAGTAATGATTATGAGAAATGTGGACCTCTTTATATATTAATACATGTTAGTTATTATTTATATTACTTCAAAATTCTCTCCTCAGCACACGTACACAGTGTTGATTATTCACCTGACCAGAGCTGGGCCAATCACGTTCTCTTTTGTAGAGTTGGCAGGGATTCTTAATCATCTTCTAAGGCTGGCTGGAATATAGCAAGTGAGCTCAGGAGCTAGCGGGGTGTATGCAGTCATAATTTAGCAAATGAGCCAGAGAGGTATGGGGGAGAGAAGAGATAGCAGATGAAGTGAGCGTCCAGATGGCATTCAGCTAATAGATACAGCTTCTGTCTGGGACCTCCCTGATGCTCCTGTGTATTTTCAGTTTCTCCATCATTGCTGGTATTATTTGTATGCTGAAAGTCTTACATTTCAAAATTAATTAATTAATTATTTTAGTGGTGGTTTCACCCTGTTGCCCAGGCTGGAGTGCAGTGTGCCATCATAGCTCCCTGCAGCCTCCCACTCTTGGGCTTAGGTGATCTTCCTACCTCACCCTCCCAAGTAGCTGGGATTACAGGTGCGTGCCACCATGCCTGGCTGATTTTTTATTTTTAAATTTTTTGTAGAGACAGGATCTCGCTATGTTACCTAGGCTGGTCTAGAATTCCTGGCCTCAAGTGATCCTCCCACCTGGGCCTCCAGAGTTGCTGAGATTATAGGCATGAGCCACCTTGTCTGGCACTGAAGTTCTTAATTAAAAATTAAATTAAAAATATTTTCCACACATTTATTAATATTTTCTCACACATTTGTTGAGAGGAATAAAAGAGATAATGCATATAAAATACTTAATACAGGACCTGGCACATATAAGCACCCCATAAAAACGATAATAATGCCCGTTTACTAAATGTTGGGAGACAGTTCTCCATGAGTTTCTCATGTTTCTATATGCCTTGCAAACAGAGATCTTCTCTGCATTTTGTTATGGATTCTTTTAAATTTTTCTTTTTAAAGTGAGGGTCTCACTCTGCTGCCCAAGCTGGAGTGGAGTGGCATGATCACGGCTTATCACATCCTTGACCTCCTGGGCTCAGGTGATCCTTCTGCCTCAGCCTCCCAAGTAGCTGGGTCTACAAGCATGTGCCCCCATGCTCAGATAACTTTTTTGATTTTTTTTTTTTTGTACAGATGAGGTCTTGCTATGTTGCCTAGGCTGGTCTTGAACTTCTGGGCTCAAGCAATCCTGTCTTGGCCTCCCAAAGTGCTTAGATTACAGGTGTGACCCACCATGCCTGGCCTTAATTTAGTTTGTGTAATGAGCAACCTTAGTAAATATAGTGTCCCCTGGAGCAAAAGTCCTTACGCCTACTGCCTATTATAAAATATTTGGACTCCCCTAGCTCAGGGTTCCCTTCTGTAATGTAGTCCACTGTACATCCTCAGACTTCTGCCTGGCTTCATCTGCATCACCCCATGGGGTTTGGGACAAAGAAGAACTGACAAAACTATGCTGATACTCATGCTGTTTGCTGCAGCATCAGTAATTGCATACTTTGTTTCTAGTCAAGAAGTCTCGTCTTTCACCAGCATCCATGCAACCATGGCAGGCTAACTTGATAGCTTGCAAATTGGGTAAGATCTCAGACCCTTCACAGTTTTTGACAATCATCACTCTTCTCTGAACTTTTAAATACTGTTCATTCTTTCACTTTCATTCATAGAAGTTTCTAAGTGTCAACTAAGTTTAGGGTTAGGGATAAGAAATTATTATTATAATGATGAGAAATGTAAAGAAAATAATTCAGACCAGGCATGGTGACTCATGCCTGTAAACCCAGCACTTTGGGAGGCCGAGGCAGGAGGATTGCTTGAGCTCAGGAGTTTGAGACCAGCTTAGGCAGCATAGCAAGACTTTGTGTCTACAAAAAATAAAAACAAAAATTAGCCAGGTGTGGTGGCATGTGCCTATAAACCATCTACTGGGGAGGGTGAGGCAGGAGGATCACTTGTATCCAAGAAGCTGAGACTGTGGTGAGCTGTGATTGTGCCACTGCACTCCAGATTGCACAACAGAGTGAGACCCTGACTCAAATAACAATAGCAACAACAACAATTCAGTCCAACAATTATTTGAGTTCCTACTATGTACCCAGAGTTTTACTAGGATTGTAAGTATTTCTGCTCATCAAAGATTTGCAATGTAACTGAGGGACTAGAATATTAATAGCTTCCACACAAAACAGGAATAGATTAGTGTTATATAAATGTTAAAAAAATAAATCTTTTAGTTTAGTTGAGGGTTAGATGCTTTTTGGTAATGATGATCAAGAAGAGATAGGATTTTAACCTTTGTAAAGGTTTTTGATAAGTAGAGATTGCAGGGCAGGAGGCCCAGGAGCAAAGACAGGCGTGAGCGAGCACACTTTGTTGGTTTCCTGACTCCTCCCTATTCAGGGCCTTTGCAGATGGTCAGACCATGGCAGCACTAAGCTTAGAGCTCTTTCTCCTCTTGACCTGGCTAATTCCTTAAGATCCCACAGATCTCAGTTTAAATGCCACTTCTTTAGGAAGTCATCCTCCTTCGCACACATGCCAGTCTCATGCTTTTGTTAAGGACATCTCCAGCAACCTGGCCTTCCTGGGATCTGCACTTACTAGTTCTTTCCTCCGTCGTGGTGAAGACCATATCTGTCGCTGTGTCTCCAGCACCTAGCATAATACCTGATCCATAACAAGCCTTTGGTGAATGTGTGTTGAATGAATGAGTGGATGCTAAAAAAAAAAAAATATGGTCCTAGTTTGGTAAGGAGACCCAGTAGACTGGGGCATAGGAGTTATAGAAAATTGGGTGGAATAGGAGGAGAGAAAACGAAAACAAAAAAGCAGAATTTAAAAAGACTAAGAATTCCATTTACAATAGCAGTCAAAAAGCTTAAAAAAAAGAACCTTGCCCCCCACCCAAAAAGACTAAGGAATTTGGGTTTCATCCAGTGGACTTGAAAGTTTTTGAGTTAAAATGGATAAAAGTCAGTTTGAATTCCTTTCCAGAAAAATAACCGTTTTCTGCTCACTAGTATGAATGAATGAATCATTTCTTCTCCCAGTGTCTGACGGCCATAAGAAATGTCCCCATTCTGAAAGCAGCCTAGTTTAGTCATACTGAAGAGGTCAATAGGGTAGCAGGGAAGTAGCTCTCTTTTTTCATTGCAAAGGACCACTTTTATTACTTTTTACCTTTATGAGCTCCGCATTTAAACATATCTTACATTCCTTACCATCTGCAGGTATGAATTCATTGCTTATTTTCCTATTTTCAGTTAGTCCAACATAAACTCCCTTTAGGGAGTGGGAGATAAGCAGCTGATTTAACGCCAGGCTGATATATTTCCAGCTGATGGTGAAGATACTTTTCCATTTCTTTGGTGGTTTCCAGTTTTATCACTAGTGATACTTCAACTTCTTTAGGCATTTTGAAATGCCAAAATTCTCTCTTTCCTCTGATAGACCCCAATATTCTTTCCTCTGATGCCCGGGGCCCTGGGGACCCAGGTTGGCACAATTGCATGAGACGGCCAGAGGCCACCCTGTATTGCGAGTGTAATTCTGGTGACTCAATGGAGACAGGATACAGCCTGGACCACTCACAGTTGCCAGTTCTTTTCTCTTAGACTAGGTGATGTGAAGAAATCTCAGTGTATTTTTGAAGCAGGTGAATGAGGCATTGGACAGCTCTGGACATAATGGGTTAATTTTATTTTTTAGCTTTCTTGGAATGTTGACACTAGGGGGC